CGGACTAGCAACGGCAAGGCCCCTCCATCTTGCCAGCGAGGCTTCTTCCCCAGGACATTCTGAGCTGAGCTGCTGAAGGACAGATTGTGAAAAGAGGCAGTACCCTTACTCCATTGGTAGCCAAGGAAGCCTCCCTTACTCTGGCATGAGGACCACCACAAACCCTCCATGCCAAAGTACAGGTGTAAGCCCACCTAGTGTATATTCATTGCACAAAATAATGGGTTTCAGCCTGGTATGGTGGCACATGCCTGGAATCTCAGCACTAGGGGGGGTGGAAGCAGAAAGATCGACCATGAATTTGAGGCCAGTTGGGGATACCTAGCAATAGCCAGTCTCGAAGAGAGAGTTCATCATGAACTTTGATGTTATTCACCCCCATTACCTTCTTCTGCCCAACTGTTCTGCTGATCCCCTCCTCTTTCTATCTAGTCTCCCTCTGTTGGTTGGGATGGTTTGTTTGTTTTGTTTTTCAAGACAGGGTTTCTCTGTGTCACCCCGACTGTCCTGGAATTCACTATATAGACGAAGCTAGTCTCAAACTCAGAGATTCACCTACCTCTGCCTCCAAGTGCTGGGATTAAAGGTGTGCACTACCACCTGTACCAAGTCCTTTTAAAGTCTAGATTTCATGTATGAGTGAAAACATACTATTTTTCTGGATAGACCTGGCTTGCTTCATGTCATAAATGGTCTCCAGTTCCATCTATTTCCACAAAAAATGACTTGATTTTATTTTTGTGATAGCTGATTAACATACATAGTGCGTATATGCATTTCCCTTATTCAGTTATCTCTCTGTTTGCTTGTTTTTGTTATTGTTGTTTTCAAGACAGGATCTATCTCTCTGTGTAGTCCTGGCTGTCTGAGAACTCACTCTGTAGACCAGGTTGGCCTCAAACTCCCAGATATCTGTCTGCCTCTGCCTCCCAAGTGCTGGGATTAAAGGAGTGCACACTGTGTTCAGCTTTCAGTCATCTCTTGATGGGCATCTAGCTTAGTTCCTTCACTTGGCTATTGTGAAGATTCAGAGCATCTTAAAGCCACTGCAGGGAACAGCAGAGCGTGTGGACTCAGCTCCTTGGGGTACCGAGGGCACTGTTACCCAGCAGAACTACATTTTCCTGTACCTTTCCAGTTCCCTTCTGGTAGTCGTGCTCTCAGCTGTGCTCAACCATGCTTCCTTCTATTAGATACAGGATATACAAACCTACACTTTGCTTAAGACAGTATCACCATTCATGGGTCACTATTTGATCTGGTTTCATGTCAATGCTTTCTCCAATATATTTAGTACCCATCTAGATTGTCCTGAGTCCAACACATCCTGCTTCCATGTCTGCCTGTGGGAATGTGAGAGAGTTCTAGGCACCAAGGGGACATCTGCATGCTAGGAAAGTGGTACTTGGAACATAAGAAGAGGCTCATATTTGGGACACAAAAAAGCCATTCAATCAGAAGCGAAATTATGTTTTACTCTTTCCACTCACACACAGGAACCCCTTGCGGATGAAAGAAGTATGTAAACAAATTAGCAGATGTGCTGGGAGAGCATAAATGAACCTGGGCTGGAAACTCAGCCCTTGGTCCGATCAGGGCAACGGGAAGTTATCCCAAGTCAGAACATGCAGGGTCCTTGGCTTTGTCAGTGTTGGTACAACTGGGTGGAGGGTCCTCACCCTGTTCAGGTTACTCTGAAAGCCCCTCAGAGGGTATGAAAAAGGTCAGCTGCCCTATTTAAAGCTCTCTGGAAGGGCCCTGGCTTGCCTGGGCTCAGAGAGGCTTTGGGAGTTGAGACCTGCTTGCAGGTTAAGCTGAAAAATCCAGGGTATGCCTGACAATTGCCCTATTTTCATTATGACAGCATGAACCTCAGAGGTGTCTGGAGACTCCAGGAGGGCAGCCTGCTATGGGTCAGCTACATAGTTCACAGTCCATCCACAGAGCCTGACTCCACTGGACAGTACCACCAGCAGCTACAGCTGGTCAGACTCTGTGGTCATTGTACCACAGACAGTTCCAACAACTGTTCTCTGTAATCTCTCACACCAAAGCACATCAGACCACTCAGTCCTGAGTGCACTCCATGAACCCAGTGTGACAATAAAATCTCCACTGCAGCTCATGAAACTTAAATACATTTATAGTTAGAAGTTTTCCCATGGTGCAAACTAAGTGTCACTTTATATACAATGGCTGAACTAATGGCTGAACTACCTCTCTCTCTCTCTCTCTCTCTCTCTCTCTCTCTCTCTCTCTCTCTCTCTTTCTCTCTGTGTGTGTGTGTGTGTGTTTATGTGTGTGTATGTATAACCATGCATACGTGTGCATGCAGAGACCACAGGTGTCGTTCCTCAGGTGCTGACGACCTGACTTTTTTTTTGAGGCAGATTTTCTTACTGGCCTGAGACTTTCTAAGCCTATCTCTGCCTCCCTAGTCCTGGGATTCTAGGTAAATCCCACCACGCTCAGCCACTACCTCCTGTGTGTGTGCGTGCAGAGGGTGGGGAGCAGATTGGGGATCAACTCCAGTCTTCATAAGCTCTTTCTTGACTGAGCCATCTTCTCATCTCTTAACCAGCTTAAGTCTTAAACCCCTTGGCATTGCAGTGTTCCATTGGTCTAGTATTTGTCTGTCTCCATTCTTTCCTTAAACTGCAGCTGTTGTAACCCTCAACAGTTTCAGTGTGCACATGGTTGGCCTTTAGAAGTTCAGTACTCGGTCACCACACGTTCTGTCTCTAGAGACCTTCTGACCCTTGGGTCCAGCTGCTCTTCAAGCTCACAGTTCAGCTCTGGTTGTAATCGATAATTGTATCCCCCTCAATCTCTGTCTCAACCTTCATGTTCTGCAGCGGTACCCACCACCGTCTCATTGGTTGAAGCAGTTTTGCAGGATTGATCCCTCCTCCTCACCTCTCTCCTTCTTAACATGGACTCTGTAGGCCATCATTTTGTTAGCTGCCTTTCAAGTCTTCTCTCTCCTGCACCCTTTGATCCTTGTCATTCCTTCACAAAGTCCTACCCAATAAGCCCACCTGTCCTGCCACCACATGCTGGCTTCTATGGGGGAAGATGCACAAATTCCTCATCTGATGATAGATTTGTTGTCAATTTGATTATAAGAAATAAGGTTGTCACTGGGTAAAAGCCACCATTGTTGGAGAGCATTTGCCATAGAAGTTTGAAGCTACACTAATCTGGAATGGAGAATACAAATCGGACGTAAGACCCAGAGCACTTGGATGTAATAAACGGAGATGTGGACGTGTGGAAAGACACTGGAAGTTTAGTCAGAGGCAGGAAGTGGTTCTAAAGGCCCCCAGCTAATTGGCCTTGGCTGCTTTGGCTGTCATTGCTGCCAAGCAACCCAGAACACACTTGGGGAACACGTGACTCTAAGCATGGGGTGTAGGCCAGTTCTTCCATCAGGAAGCTTCCTTCCCATTGTCTGAAGCTGAGGTGTGCAGAAAACAGGACACCTTTCTTCCTGTCATTTCTAGAATAGCTGAAAGAACGGTTGAAGGGTTTGCTTGTCTATCTTAACTTGTCTTTCCACTGTCCCCTTGACCCAGATACAGTCACACCCAGAACTCTGAGATCAGAACATTCTGGGTTGGGTCAGAAATGTTCTGTGTTTTTATGCAGGAGTGATTTGTGCAGTTATCAACAGTCAAGGGAGTGTGGACAGCTCACTCTAGCCCAACAGTCTGATTCATGGCAAGGCCTGTGGGCAGCTCAGCTGAGGAACAGCTGGGGTTGATGGGCAGCTCGTGTGTGTGTGTGTGTGTGTGTGTGTGCGTGTGCGCGTGCGTGCGTGCGCGTGCGTTGTATTAGCATGTGGATATCAGAGGCTGATTCAGGTACCTTCTTCCACTTTATGTTTTTGAGACAGTCTCTCATTGAACCTGCTGCTCATCAATTGGCTAGTCTGGTTGGCCAGTGAGCTCTAGGGAACCACCTGTCTCCACGTCCTTAGCACTGAGGCTTCAGGTCCTTGCCACCATGCCCAGCTTTTATGTAGATGCCAGATATCCAAACTAAGGACTTCATGCTTGCAGAGCAAGGTCTTTACCCAGAGCCACCTCCCAGCCCCAAGAAGAACAGTTGTTTGCAAATGCTATCTCTTACCCACACCTACATGCCCAGCCAGGGACATAGACTCTGGGGATGCACCGGTTCTTGAAGAGTCTACTATCCAACCAGGTGGTGTTGGCACACACTTGAGTCCTCGTTCTTAGGAGACAGAGGCAGGTGGATCTGAGTTCATGACTAGCTTCATCTATTGAGCAAGTTCTAGGAAAATCAGGGCTACACAGAGAAACCCTGTCTCAAGAAAGAAAAGAAAAGAAAAGAAGGAAGGAAAGAAAGAAAGAAAGAAAGGAAGGAAGGAAGGAAGGAAGGAAGAAAAGGAATAAAGAAAGAAAAGGAAGAAAGAGCCTAGTTGGATAACTTCTGAGAAATACCTCTGGATGCCATAAACACAAACCAGTGCAAGAACACAAGTGCATGTGCAAGCCCATGCAAATACACAAAAACACACACTAGTACACACACACACACACAGATACAATACTAATAGTAAATAATAATAACAATAATAATAATAACAATCTTCACGTGGGTAGAACTGTAGCCTGTGGAGTGCTTTTGAGAAACTGAAAGCCGTACTTAGAAGAACAACTCTGGATGCAAGCATGATAATCCGAGACAAGGAGTGTGGCTTAGTGAGATGGGCGCAGGCTAATGTCACCTACTGTCTGAGGTCATCTTGGCTTCTCTGAGGCATTCATGCTCAAAGCAGAAGAGTTCATGATGGCTTCTCCCTCTATCATTCCCTGGAGGGGCCTCCCACCAACCTTCTAGCAGGACACAGCCTACAGGGCAGATACTTGGAAATTCATGCTTAATAGCAATTACAGCTTTCTTTGCTGGCTCATCAGAGTGTGTCCCGGCCTTGTTATGTGACATGCACTCAGCTCCACAGCATGGTCTCTTACCTTCGCCTGGGCCGTAGGAGGAGCTGGCCGTCCAGGACTTGGCTTCCACATAGCCCACTTGCCGGCAGACAACGTGGGCAGCATGGATAGAGAAATCATCATCGCACACGGTGCCCCACTGGCCTTCGTAATAGACCTCCACACGGCCCTCATTATGCTTCCTCTTCTGGCCCGCCAGGCGGACCTGGATCTTGACCACATCAGAGGGCACCTGACGCTGATGGTGCTCTGGAGCAGGCTGCTGGAAATACTCCGGGTACTGGAGCTGGTAGGGCCAGCTCTCATACTGTGCTAGGCTCGGGGAGGGCAGCAAGACAAGCAGAGCCAAACAGCCGTAGAGGCAGGAGCCAAAAGGGATCTCCATCCTTGTCCTATGCTGAGAGGAGGTGGCGGGTGGCAGCAGGAAGTTTCTGGAAAGAGAGAGAGAGGGAGGGAGGGAGGGAGGAGAGAGAGAGAGAGAGAGAGAGAGAGAGAGAGAGAGAGAGAGAGATGCCATTAGTCTACCGTAAAGGCTGTAGATACTGTACAATGTTGTTCTGAGACATCACCTTCCTGGCTTAGCATGTAACACTCTTCTGGACCACATACCAACCCATTTCTACTCCCACCTCAGGTTTTGACCACAGCAGTCTAAGTTCCCGATGTCACCCACCACCTTCCTCAAATCTGAAATGCTGTCATCAGTACTCTGAGCTCAAAGACCTTTTCTTTCCTGACATTGTACAGGTATGGTGGTCACAGGACAACTGGTGGGAGTTGGTTCTCTTATTTCACCATGTGGGTCCTGGGGATTGAACTCAGATCACCAGGCTTGGCAACAAGCCCCTTTAGCTGCTGAGCCTTCTCACCAGTCCTCTTCCTTTTTTTTTTTTTTTACCAATCTAGAAGTGGGCAGACTTGAGGGGGACTGACAAAGGATAGGGGAAGCACCCCTGGTTGTCAACAGAAGGTGGCTGTTTCCTCTCAGAACTCAAAGAGTCTCCCTGAGACATTGGTGCTTTCTAGAAATGAGCACAGCTGAGCAAAAAGGCTACCTAGTGGCATCTGGGTTCTTTACTGGGTCTCAGAGCCACCCATAGCAACCAGTAGGGAGGAGCCATGGAACACACACAGATGTCACTCTCCCCACCCCACCCCCATTTCTAATCTCTTCCTGGTGCCCTAATGGGAAAATCCAATTATACCCAACCAAAACAAGGTTAAGAGTCACTGGAGAAGTCTGCCTGGGCTGGCCTCCTGGGACACAAGGCTGGCAGAAAGGGATGACAGTGGGTCCCATAGGCAAGTGCAGGCTTCTCAGAACACCTTCCTGTGCTCCTCTCCACTCCTTCAATCTCCTCATAGCCCAAAGCCCAGCTAAACCCGGGCCAGTTTCCCCAGTCATCCCCTGCCAAGGCAGATTTAGGATTTGATAATTTCCCAGTGATTTTCAACATGTCCAATGGGAAGACAAATTTTTTTTAGGACAAAACTTATATCTTAGTCTTCTCTGGTTTCTCCATGCCAGGTTTCATAGCTTCATAGACACTTTTACTAACTGGGAAGATGATCTGGCTGCAGGGCTGAGCCATGAGTGGAGTGTGGGGTCTCAGTGGTCCCTTAAGTAGCACTGTATCTGGAAGTCTGACAGGATCCTTTGTGATCTGCACAGCTCTCCAAAGCCCCGTGGTCTTGTTCCCACTGTGTGTGTGTGTGTGTGTGTGTGTGTGTGTGTGTGTGTGTGTGTGTAACCCTCCACTGTCAGTGACTGAGGTGAACAAAGGGCCACTGTCACTTCCTTTGAAGATGATGGAGCAAGCTGGGCGTAGTGCTGCCACTATGCCTTTAATCCCAGAACTTGGGAAGAAGAAGAGGCAGTTGGATCTCTGTTTGAGTTCCAAAACTAAAAACAAAAAGAAGGAAAGGAAAGGAAAGGAAAGGAAAGGAAAGGAAAGGAAAGGAAAGGAAAGGAAAGGAAAGGAAAGGAAAGGAAAGGAAAAAGGAAAAAGGAAAAAGGAAAAAGGAAAAGGAAAAGGAAAAGGAAAAGGAAAAGGAAAAGGAAAGGAGGGAGGGAGGGAGGGAAGGAAGGAGGGAGGGCAGAGAGAGAGACAAAGAAAGAAAGACACAGAGAAGAAAGGAAAGGGAAATGAAGGAAGCAAGGAAGGAAAGAAGAAAGGATGGAGCAAAGAAAGAAGGAAGGGGTCTGCAGAATTCGCCCTCAGAGACGTTCTGAAAGCCCTGTGGCATTTCCTTCCTATCTATAGTATCTCTGCCTAGGGGATACAGAGGTTTGAGACCAGCCTGCTTCTAACTCATGGGAGAGATGCTGAGCCCTTTGTGATCAAACAGAAGAGGAATTGAAGAACCCAATTATCAGGGAGAGCATTATCTGCACGGGAAGAGAGCATGCTAGAGCCCAAAAGAACTGAGCTGAGTTTGAATCCTCATTCTGATGTTTACGTTGTGCAATCTTAGGCAAAACATTTAGCTTCTCTGCACATCAATTTCCTCATCTATTGAAAGTAGATGTTAATCAAAGGCAGGCCACAGAACCGTTCTGGGAGTTAAAGGAATGGCCTCCCACAAGCACTATGGCAGGAGCATTTGCTAAATGGAAAACTACATTCTTAAAGGTCATGGGCATCACAGCCAGTGGGAACCAGTGTAACTCCAGAGTGAGATTGTGTGCAAGGGACTTCATATGTCCTGGTCCTCAGATAACTCAGAGACTGGGAGATCATGGGAAAAGGACTGTGGGTGTGTCTCAAGGAGGAAGCAGATTGAGAGATGAGAGCCCAAAAGGCAGCGCCAGGAGCTGCAGTTGGGAATTGCAGGGGCATTCACACTTCATTTTAAACATGCATGAAGGGACAGAGAGATCACAGTGCTCAGTTCCGAGTAACTTCCTATCAAGGAAAGACTTGCTAAATGACCCTGGGCTGGGGCCACCTGAGAGCTGCCTTAAAGAGACACAATCCTTTGTATGTTGCTGTCCTGTGGGTTTACTATAGAGAAAGCCCCGTGTTAGTGCCAGAGGCCCAGCAGTTCTCATCCTGTGACACGCAAACAAGGCCCGAAGGTGGTGAGGTTCCTGCAACAGGTTCACAGTCTGCACCTGGCTTAGGCTTTGACACCTACAGAAAATACCTGTAACCCTGTCTTCCAAAGAGCACAATCCCAAGGAGACCTTGTCAGGTCCCATTAGGCAAAATGAAGGTCCTCTGCGGCTGCTTTCAAGTCACTCATTGTGTGTGTTTTATTCTTGTTATCCTTCAGGCTCTGTGACAAGAGCCTTAACCTGGAAGGTTTTCACAAAGCAGCACACCTGTTTCTGCTAGGTAGACTCATTTGCATTAGTCAAACCTTGCCATAAACAACTATAAGACAGTAGATAAACATACTAAAAACATAACTATCATGCACGGCATAAAATTTTGTTCAACAACAACAACAACAAAAACCCTGCCTGTCGAAATGACCCCATAAAGGCAGGCAGTGGTGGTGGTGTACAATTTTAATCCCAGTACTTGGGAGCCAGAAGCAGGTGGATCTGTGATTTCCAGGCCAGCCTGGTCTACAAAGCAAGTTCCAGGACAGCCAGGGCTACACTTCCAAAAAAAAAAAAACAAAACAAAAACCAACCAACCAACTAACCAACAAACAAAAAGAAAGAAAATAACCCCATAACTTATAACGAAGAAGAAAAGTTTCTATCATCTGGTGACATTAAACAATAATATACTGATATGATAATGACTTTACTACCTTATGCCTTTGTTGTATTTGCTTCTTGTTTGTTTTTGCTTTTCTGTACTTTGTTTTGTTTGAGACAAGGTCTTACTCTGTAGCTCAGGCTGAGTGAAACTCATAGTGATCCCTCTGCCTCAGCCTCCAACTGCTGGGATTACAGACATGTCTTCATCACTATTTTGCCCCTTCCGATTACGAACAATGTTTAATATAAATTGCCAGGCTGTGTCACGCCCACAGCAGCCTCACAAAGCTTGTTTACAAGTCTTTTAATTGTATCAAGAGGCCACAAGGAGGGACTGACATCTGCCATCCAGATTTGTGAGGGAACATTCTAGGATGCTCAAACAGAGCCCAAGTCACGTGTTCCTGACACTGGCTCCTGAGGCGGCGTGGACTCAGAGAGTCAAGGATCCAGAGGGGAAGGATGTGCACGGAGAGGGGCTCACATAGGTCTCTGCTTTTCCCAAGGCAGTGGCTAGTAGGTGGAAGAGCTGAGTGAAATTTTCAGTAGCCTCCAACAACTGAGAAAATAAAATCAGACCTCAGGGAACGAGACTGATGATATAGAGACATATTAGGACATATTTGAAGTGTAAACAAAATGCTTGGAAACCCAAAGAAGAGGAGAGAAAGAATGTGCAGAGGAGGCATCTGAAGAGCAGTGGCGAAGAACTTCCAACATGGATGAACAGAAGCAAGGCCGAGCAGTAGACTTCATAGAGGAAAGCAGCTCTGGCCACACGGACTGAGGAAAGTCTGAGACAGAGGAAATCTCATACATAGCCAGGGGTAATGGGTATGCTATATCTAAAGAACGTCAGGAAACATGAGGAAGCAAGAAGATAATGGGACGACATTTTCAAAGGGCCGACAAGGGAGTGGCAGTCTAGTCACTGAGGGGGAAGAACAAAAATAAAATGAGAACATCAAGACTAACAAAAATGGATGCACTGGGAGGGGATCTTAAAGCCAAAAGAAAAGTAACCTCAGTAATGGCATGAAGGTTTAGGAAGGAATGAAAGATGGAATAGAAAAGTACATAACCAAACCTAAATACAAACCCTTCATATAAAACAATAACCACGGCCGGCGTTCTAAAGTTTCTGTACTATGAGCTGGTGAGATGTCTTAATGGTAGGCCACTTGCCTATCATTAGTGAGACTCTGAGTTTGGTACTCAGAATTATAACACAAGGATACTAACAGTAACAACTGTGTGTGTGTGTGTGTGTGTGTGTGTGTGTATGCGTGTGTGAGCAAAGGAGGCGGGTGGAGATTAAAGTCTAAGATTCTTGTGTGGTCTGAGAAATGGTGCAAGTCTATTTTCTAACAGACTTTAACGAGCCTTAACAGATGCATGCTACAGTGTTTGTGTTCTCTGTCATAAGAACAAAACAACAACAAAAAATAGAACAGGTTACTACAATAGGCAAATAATGGAATTCTAAGAAAGTACTTGACCTGTGAATTTGCTGTTGCTGTGACAAAATACCTGGTATAATCAACTAATGAGGGGGAAGGAGTTCTCTTGCTTGTGGTTTCAGAAGTTTCAGTCCATAGTCACATGGTCACATTGTTTTGGGCTGTGGAGGCTCCATGTATAATGGAAGGAAGACATGACAGAGGAGGCTGCTCTCCTCCAGGAAATGGAGGAAGAGAGAAGAGCTTGGGGCCCTCT